AAAAAAAAAAAAAAAAAGTACTCCCTCATTTTTTAAATAAGACGTGTCGTTTTGAGAAATTGCATAGTAATTACGAATCTTTGTTTTGCCAATAATAACTTTCATTAATGAGGATATAAATGGATGTATTGAGAAAGATGAATAATGAATATGAAAAGACGTAGTGTATTTATTAGCTAGACGAGGATAATAATGGAAATATATGTACAAAAAATCTAAAACGTCATTTATTTAGTTAATTGTTGATAAAACCAAAATGATATTTAAAAAAAATAGGAGGTAGTACCAAATTAAGATGAAAAATTGAATAAGTGAACAGATGTAAGAATTATATATTAGACGAAAATTAGTTTTTCTCTAAAAGGGTAAGATATACCATTTAAGCTATAAGCTTGTGGTAAAATGTTATACATTAATGTTTTATTTCTCTTTAAACCGAAAAAAAAAAATGTTTCATGTCTTTTTTGTTGGAAAAAATTTTTAATTTTGGTCTGTTTACTTGTCTAAAATCATTTTTTGGTAAATTAACTTTCCCTTCATAAAAAACAGTACGTTATGTTGCACTTTGTATCATCTTTGGGACATTACTCATAAAAAACAGTACGTTATATTGCAATTTGTATCATTTTTAGAATATTAATCCTAAAAAATAATAAACTTTTTTCGAGATAATGTCCCAACAGTGATAGAAATGGCAACATAACGTACTATTATTGATGGGAGGAAAAGTTAATGTACCAAAGAAAAGCTCTAGACAAGTAAACAGACCAAAATTGATTTTTTGACTACTTTTGTTGTTGTTTTATGTATTTTTGTGTTCTTTATAAGTACTCGTTTTATTTTAATTACGGTTTTTTTCCAGTCAAGTTAATCATTTTTTGTGGTTTATATTTCGTGTTGTTTTGGTATTTTGTGCATTTTCTGGTTATTTCTATACTTGATTTGTTAAGAAAATGTGCTTCGAAATATTCTAGACGTTGTCGTGAAGTTGCCGAAAAACTTGTCGAAGTTGCTCGAAAGCTTGTTCGAAAATTTTCGGTCTAGTCGGCTAGGTTATCACCCGGCAATCCGGCGCCTAGGCCACATGCGCTCTGTGAGCCCAACACCACTTGCACTGAGCGTCAAGCATCAAGCACACCCGTGCCCAACGCAGAGCCCTGCAGTCGGGGAGAGTCAAGTCCCAACAACAAGTCATGTCATTCTTCCGCCTCCGTCGTCGCCGTCGATGCCCACATTCAGAACCACTGTTATCTCATGCACGGGCAACATCACACAACCGCTCGTTCCATTGATGTCCCACCGACCACCTCCACCACCTATGCGAAGCGAGCACTTTGACAAGATCCGCCACCTCCGCCATTGGCGCGAGCACTCCGACGAGATCCGCCACCTCCTCCGCTGGCGTGACCTATTAAGCTAAAAAGGCCACCGCCGGAAGCCAAAATTTTTGATTTGGAACAATGGCATAAGCCTAGGCTAGAAAAACATATCGTCAGAGTCGGGGTTGTGCATATGGAAGACGACGACAACGGTGGTTGCGACGGGCGCCGAGGCGGCGTGTATTTTTTTCTCCGGCGACCGTTGGTCGTGACTCGTGTGCCGGGACTGTGAATATGAAGAAGGCGGCAGGAGGAGTCAGGTGGATTGCGGCGGCGGGCGGTGGCAGATGGATGGCGAGAGGCGGATGCGGCAGGCCAAGTCTGGTCAGTGTGTGTATGTGCAATCAATGTGTGTGATTGTGTGCGATAATGTTTAGTTGCATTTTTTAACGTGCGTGAGTGTGTGAGAGGGGGTTAGTCGTTGGGTGTGGGGTCCACTGGGTTGTTGGGTTGGTGTTTAATGACCAAAATATTCTTATTAAGTGGTCAAATATGTATATTTGACCTTAATATGACCAATTATTTAATAAATTGACATAACATTTTTGACTATATATTTAATATTTGACTTGTGGTCCTACCCGACTCGATTCCGGATTAGTCGGTTCCCCTGTGGTTCCGGAAACCGGAAGGTCCCTGTAGCAAAAAAAAAAAAAAAGAAATATTTGACTGTGACAATTGATATGTTGAATCAAATGATTCAGAGTCATTTTTTTCTTTCACTATCTACTATTCTCATATAATTCATTCTCTGTAGATCTATTGGATTCAGAATTATTTATTTCTTCACTATCTATTATTCTCATATAATCCCTTAGAGCAACTTTAATGGTAAGGTTTTACAAACCTTACTTTTTAAATTTCCAATATTCCACATCATCTAAACCTCATTTTTACTCCTACACCCATAAATCTCAAATAATAATAAAACTTATAAACCTCATTTTGATGGGTCCCGCATGTTCCCCACTTACTTTTTTAATAAAAATTACACTCCTATATTTTATTAAAATTTTAAACTAACTTTATTTTTACTTTTATTCAATCTAAATGTTTCATATATTTATCATAAAAACATATAAAAAAATATTATAATTATTAATTATTTATATTTACATTGCATTATTTATTAATTATAGGGTGTTTATTACATATCGATGTAAAATTTTGCTTAAAAATGTATATAATATATTTAAATTATGTTTCATATAATTATGTATATACAATTATCTTTCATGTAAGTTTTTGAATTTAAATACATAATAGGAAAAAAAAAATTATATTTATGAGTTTGAAATTTAAGTACTTGTAGTTTTAAATCATGTGGAGTTTAAGATTTTTAAGTTTCCGATTGCTATCGAAAAATGAGAATAATATGAAATTTAAGACTTTTAGTTTGTTTTTACAATTGAAAAATTAAGGACAATTTTTGGATATGTACATGCAAGTGCAAGGACAGAAACCAAAAATAAAAAATAAAAACAAAGTAAAAAGTAAGATGTAAAATGTGAGACCCAATTTTCTCCCACTTACCCATTGTTTGTTATTATTTTATTATTTAAATAAGGTTTACATAAGGTTTACACTGTCAAAACTGTGTTGAATTTACAAACCTCAACGCTGTGCCTTATAGTGGTAAAACCTTGAAAAGGAGGTTTGTAAACCTCACGAAACACTACCGTTAAAGATGCTCTTATATGTTGTTAAATTTTATTACTGTTTATATAAATCAATCCTGAAAGTAGAACCGAAACTTGGGTGTTGAACTTCAAAAGCAGGTCAAATGCCACGTAAGTGAAACTTTTGACAACTCAGCTGACAGCATGGACACATGCATACGAGAAGGAAAGATCACATGCAGACAAAAAGGAGACACACTCAAGAGGCTCCAACTTTATCTGACAGAGAGAATTACAATGGCCGTAGGATGAGTTGTAGAAGATCCTTAGCCGTAGATGATCTAAAAACAGAACAAAAATGTTATCAATGGAGTTTTATCACACTCCTCAAGATTTCTTCTTTGGTGTTCACTGCATTTGTTTTCACAAGGAACGCATGACAGTATCGCCCTTCTGATTAGTTCTGATAATCAAGGACAAGTAAGTCCTTATATTTTTTCTCTTCTCTCCCTCTGTGTGTATTTTCACTATTTTGAGAGAGAGAGAGAGAGAGAGAGAGTATTGTGTACAAAACTCTCCAGTTTTGCTGTTACTGAAAACCAGAAAATTTCAACCCAAACATCAATTGATGGCGGGGAAGGGAAGAGGTTGCCGCCCAAGAAAGATAAAACGAGGACGCCCAAGAAAAGGCGAAGCTCTGCCGGCTGAAACTCCTCAGGCAGGCTCGATCTCCTGCGATGATAAAGGCGAAGCTCTGCCGGCTGAAACTCCTCAGGCAGGCTCGATCTCCTTCGATGATAAAGGCGAAGCTCTGCCGGCTGAAACTTCTCAAGCAGGCTCGATATCCTTAGATGATTCTGCGGATGAGGTAAAAAAAAAATGAAAATGGAAGAAATTTTGTACCAAAATGTTCTCTTTCTGCAATTTTTGCTAGTTTTAATGTTGTTTTTTTGTCCTGAAAAAAATGCTGGAAGGAATAATGGTGATGTGTTTGTTCATAGTTCTATGGATTTTGTGTTCTTTGTTCCTCTCTGATTGTTTTTGGGATTAAAAAAAAAAAGGGACAGTAATCTTTTGATGGCTCCGTATCATGTTCTGCTTTTAAAGGCTTTTGGGCTGTTTTATCATTGGTGGTTTATTTTTAACAGTGTTCAGTTCAGATTGCCCACTGCAAGTTAGTTCTGCAACTGCGTGTGATAACGAATTCATTTTTCCTGTTTCTGATTTTCCCATATGTTTAGGACTTCTCACCATTCTCAAGACCTTCCAGATATCCAACGAGATATTCGAGAGAAGCCCGTGCTCGATCTGCTTCGTTGCATACTCTAGTGAGAAACTCGGTGCAAAATGTAACCGGAAAAACTCGCCAACTGTCTAGCTTAGAGCCGGAACTCGATGTACTGAATAAAACTCATGAAAAGAGACCCTCAGCAAATGAACACAATGTGGCTCCGAAACGGCCTCGTGAAGATCAAGTAAGCGAAAGCCATTACAGGAGCTGCTTAATTTAGTTATTGATTCACATGTTTCATTATTTGGGGTCTAAACATGCAATGCAATACTGGAGATGTTTTATACACTGCTATGATATACAGATAGTTATCTAAATCAGCTCCAAAATATGAACTTTGTGATATGGTGCGATGCAATATTTTCTTATTCTTTTCTTTCTTTATGTTCAATCATGTTAGCATATGATAGTTCGGTTCTTTTTGCTCCTAAACAGTGATGGTGTGAATTTTTGGGTGGTGGCTTACCTGCAGTAAAATATTATTATTGAAGTGTGATCGAAGTTAACATGTCTTATTTCCTTCGTCATGGAATTCGATTGTAACTTTTGGATTATTAGACGAGTATGGCTGGTACACGATGGTTTATTAAATTGTTATCCAAAGAAATTTCAGACTTTTTTTGTTAAAGCAATATGACTGTTGATGGATCTTTTAAGTGTATCATGTACAAATTCAAGTTTATCATGGAGTTTTTCGAATGTCTATCAATTGTCCTTGCGTGAAAGAATGCACAGAAAGTCTACAATTTCTTTTAGCATTTATCTCTATCTGTTTTCTCTTTGACATTGTAATTTCGGGTATTTCTCCGATTTTTGTCTCCTGTTATTCAAATACTTGATAATCATATTTCCCCCACTTGTATAGGTCTTTGCATTTTCCCCAAGATCAATTCGTTCTTCATTGAGGAAGCCACTTCGAAATGTGTCGAGAGCTACTCGTGACTCATCTATCTTGAACCCGGAAGTCTCTGTTCTGAATGAAACTACTCGTGACTCATCTATCTTGAACCCGGAATTCTCTGTTCTGAATGAAACTGGTCAAGAGCCACCTCCACAAAATGAAGAAAATGCAATGCCGGAGCTGAATTGTACTTCACAACCGTCCCATGAAGATCTAGTAAGTGAAGACACATTACATGAACTACTAATTTAATTGATTTATGGAGCCGTTTGTTGTGCTCATTGACATTCATATTTCTATGATCATTATTGTACATGATGTACTTATAATTTCTGGTTGATGCTTATAAACTATTCTAAAACTGAGTTCTTGTGACTGAGCAATTTGCCACCAACTAGTTGTCGTACTCACCCATGGAAGTCGGATGTCGATTCCAATCACCTTCAGTTTAACTTATATTTTGTGCTTGAGTTGTGAATTCTATGAACTTTGTTTCTGGTAGTTAGCAGCACTTTGTATGCACTACATTTGTTGGTTTGAAGAAACCCCTCATTCAAATTGTTACATTCTCATTTTGGCCATTCATGCATTACATACCACCATACATCAACTGAATTATGTCATTCAAATTTACATGGACGAATAGAAAATTCATCCTACTTTACTAGTTCAGATAAATACAGTCTCTGAGTTGCTTCTAATTTTATTCTCGTTCTCAACTCACTTAGGACTCCCACACTCCAGCTGGATCGTCAAGACAACCGAGTCCAGTGAACTACAGCCCACAGCACTACCTTACCGACAACACCAAAACAAACACCGACCACTCCATTTCGGCTGCATCCATTGACTGCTCTGCTCTTCACAACAGCAAGCACTCCTCGATCGATGTCGACAAGTTCATCCTTGCCAACGAACTTTCGATCAAGGAAAAGGGCTCGCAGGAAAAGAGCACCGCCAGCAACCATAGCTTCAACGTGACGGAATTTGCCAGGAGGCTCCATGAAGATGCTGAGGACGACCCGGAAGAGGAGGTCGAATCCTGCATCGAGCCTGGCTTCGAGCTCGTGCGTGGCCACAAGGTCAGGACCGAAACCGTGCCCCTAGTCAAGAGCATATTCGAAAGACACGGGGATATCACGAGCGGGAGCCACATGGAGTCCCCCATCTCCATCTCCAACTCCCTCGAGCAGCTATGTGGGGTGTGTGCGAGGCTGCAGCGGGCGAGGTTCGTGGAGCTCAGGGGCATTGAGTTGGAGTCTATGCTGGCGGACGTGCGGGATGTCGAGCGAGCGGGGCTGAGGGTCGTGTGGCTGAGGGAAAGGCTGGAGTTCATCTCACGCGCGTGCACGGACTACAATCAGTATATCCGTCTAAAGGAGTTGGTGAAGGAATACGACGTGTCCATAGGTGGGCTGGAGAAGGAGCTGAACACGTGCAGACAGCAGCATTTGGAGATGGGGAGAAAAATCACCTGTTTGGAGGATGAGCTGGCGGCCAAGCGTGAGAGGAGTGAGATGGTGAGGAGTGCAGTTGTGAGTACTAGTAGTAGGGTTAAGAGTCTAGTGAATCAGAATTTGGTAGATGGGCTTCTTTAGCAGTCCGAATGATTTGTAATGGTATTCTTTTCCTTTGTTTATTCAATTAGAGTTTTGTTCGATTATCTGCTATGATTGCGTGGGATTTTTTAGTTCCGACACATTGACACGGTTGTTATATTCGGAGCACAGGACGGTTATGGGCTGAGTCTTTCCCTTTTTCCTTTGGTTAAGTTGTTTCCCAAGGCCAAAGAGACAGTCAAGATTACTCTTCTTGAAGCTACTGACCATATTCTGTACAGGTTGCTTAAAGTGAATTCATTTAAAGACACTTTTACTACTATTTGAATTAGTCATAATAATAATGATCCAAATAAAAATCCCTGTGTGGCTTAAAAAGACATGTCAGTCTCCACATTTGTCAAACTTATAGATATTACTTCATTAGTTGTGGTCTTAATGAAGCAAATTGGTCAGGTAATAGCTTCACGGTGCATATATGCAGTTATGAAAATGCATCTTCTGAGTTTTTTTGCTGTTCTATTTACTCGTTTTTGCCGTGTTGATTTCAAAATTGAGTAGTGAAAAACGAAGACCGTCCGGTCCGGTTCTTCTTCACTAAGGTAGGGCTGCATGAACAAAAAGCAAGTTTTAAAAAGGAATACATAATAGTTTTTGCTTATTTGTTCGTGTTCTACCTGCCAAATCGAACAATCAACATATTCTTTAACTCTGAAATTATCTCATTGTTTAGAAGTTCATGTTGTTATTTGCAGTTGTGCATCTGAACTTAGATTTTCTTATATTCTACATATATTCCATCATATGAAATTGTATCTTATTAGCAGTTGGTGAAATACAAACTTCGTTTGGGGGTCTATTTTGTTGGTGTTTATATGAGTTCATACATACTTCATCATGAGTTTCCAACTGTAGTGGTATTACTAATCGGTAGCCGGATTTATACAAGGTGCTCGCCGATTTATTAAATCAATTCTTATATGTGCATAAATCGAAACCCCCAGCCTTGTGCAATTGATATTCTTGCTTTGCTTTGTTTTGTTATTCAATAAGCTCTACCATCCAGTTCGGATAATTAACCGAAACCACAGCCTTATGCAATTGATGTTCTTGCTTTAATTTGTTATTCAATAAGCTCTACCATCCAATTCAATTCAGATAATTAGTGGTGATTTATATTTGCCAGTTTATGTGATGAACTATGTTGTGTGATTGGTACTGAATGCGTTTTCTCTGTATTCAGCTCTGTTCATGTTTGAACGGGTTGGTTAATATCAATTTTTGAAAACACGTAAGGAGTGCGTTGGCCAAACCGAAACTCTATGAGCGGGCGTGCGTGTGTTTGTTACCTGTGATTTTCATGAAAATGTGGATTATAGTGTACATAATTTTTATGCAAAGATCGGACCTTTTTTCTTTCTCCTGCCGTATAATTTGTCTGAGTTGCCATCGACTTCTGTCGTTTTATTTAACTATGTTCGGTACAGATAATCTGATCATAGCATTACCAAAGTTGGTGTGTGTGTAAGCAAAAAGTTTATTATATACAGGCTGATCATAGCTTTTTATTTTTTGTTTTCTCCTTTCTTTTATTCATAGGGTGTTAGCCAAGTCGAGGGGTGTAACTGCAATTTTTTCATTATTCAAGCACAGGAGCAGCATCTAAAATACAAATTTATAAGGTTCAAGCTAAATCAATAAACTCAGGTTCAATCAGTATTCATTACTTAGCCACCTGAGTGCAATTTTCTCATCTCCACTCCATAACACATGAACTGCTACAAACATACATCAACCCAAAAGCATTAAAAATGTCCAGTACTAATCAGAACATAAAGCCAAAAACAAACTAAAGAAGGCCGTCTACCAAGCTCCGGTTCACGAGACTCTGAACTCGAGCTCTGGTACTGACAATGGCATTCCTCGCCACCTCAGTCCTCTCCCGTCTGGCCGCCAGCTCATCCTCCAAAGCCGAGATTCTTCTCTGCATCTCCAATTGCTGCTGCTTGCACGTGTCCAACTCCTTCTCCAGTCCACCAATCGACACGTCATTTTCCGCCACCAACTCCTTCAGATGGAAGTACTTACTGTAATCCATCCATGCTCGTGAGATAAACTCGAGCCTTTCCCTTAGCCACACGATCCTCAGCCCGGTCCGCTCAACATCTCGCACGTCCGCTAGCATAGACTCTAGCTCAATGCGCGTGAGGTCCACAAACCTTGCCTGCTGCAGCCTCCCACACACCCCACACAGCTGCTCGAGGGAGTTGGAGATGGAGATGGGAGATTCCAGGTGGGTCTCGCTCGTGATATCCCCGTGTCTTGTGAAGATGCACTCAAGTAGGGGCACGGTTTCAGTCCTGACCTTGTGGCCCCGCACGAGCTGGAAGCCGGGCTCGAGGGAAGACTCAACCTCCTCGTCAGGGTCTTCTTCCATGTTGTCGTGGAGCCCTCGGGCGTACTCGGTCAAGTTGAAGCTGTGGGCCTCAGACTGGCGTTCTTGAATGTTGGTCGTGCTTTTTTCCGGCCGGCCCTTGTGGCTTTGGCTGAGGGGAACTTGGATATCAATGTGCTTGACAGGCTGGCAAATGATCGGGTCAGGGCAATCGAGGAACGGGCCAGAGGTGGACTTGCAGTTGCTGGAATTTGCGACTTTTGTGTTGTTGGCTCTTCTGACTGGTGATGAGTGGTCTTCTTCGGTGTTGTCAATGTTGTCGAGAGTCAACTGCCTGGGCGAGCCAGCTGGCGCTTGGGAGACCTGAACGAGATTAATAAGATTGAACAAATTAATATAATGAAAATCCTCTCTGTTTGTCGAATTGCAAGTGGCGTGATTCAGTCGTTTCATTTGAAATGGGTTTGAAACTCAGGTTTACCGTTTAAATAACTTCTGTATGAACCATACCAAATTCTCAACTCCTTTTGTTCAATGTTAAGATACATGTTTCCAATATTCAGTAACATTAATTTCTCATGTTGACACAGATTCTATTTGCATCTCACTTGGCAGCATTGACCGTGAAAGAAAAGCATGATCCGATTTTATCAAATATAAGAACAGAAACACATTCAAGCAGAAGCTCCCCAAAGAACTAACTATAGTAAGGATTATTAGAATAAACAAGCACAGCAAGCATATTCATAAATAATTTGAATAAAGTAGTTTGTGCAGTGGCTTTCACTTACTAGATCATCATGGGTCTGTTTAGAAGAACAATGTTGCAGCTCAGGCGTTGCATTGTCTTCGTTTCCGGAATGTGGCTGTTGATGGGTTCCATTCTGAGCATTGAATTCTTGGTCCTGAGTCACTCTCAACACATTTCGAATTGGCTTCTTCAATGGCAAGCTCAATTTGGCAGATTGGCCAAGATTTGATCTGGAGTATCTTGTTTGGTACCTGGAGAATCCCGGAGAAGCTACATAGACCTATACAAGTAGAAAAGCCATAAAAAATGGTTACTGTGGAGTTGAACAACCAGAGAAGTACTTGGAAAACCGAAATTGATCGCATATACAAAATCCATTTTCAACACACTGATACATTTACTTACTATTGTCAATCATGATCAAATATTCTGCATTTAGATACGTCGAGACCAAACAAAAATCCATACTAACTCTGTGAATAAATTAACATAAGTGGCTCGCGCAGTGGCGTTGACTTACTAGATCATTAAGGGGCCGTTCTGAGGCCACATTTTCTCCAGCTCCTGAAGAACGAAATGCAGCAGTTCGAGCACGGACGCTTCTCAAAACAGTCGGGGATGGTAAAAAGTCCTAAACAAATGAAAAATGGAAGTAGTCATCAAATAATGAATAACAAGTATGTATTTGCACAACAGAAAGTGAAGGGTCCGGACTTAAACAATTAGAAATAAACTATATGCCACGAGGCAAAATTGGAGCTTTGCGGCAGATGCTTTAGAAAACAAAACACAAATCTCTATCATGTAAGAAACAATGGAGTGTGGTCACTCAATCTCATCAGCAGTTTCAAAGGAAGAAGAAAACGCCATCTAAAGGAAAATAACATTGTCCCTGATCATATTCAACAAACTGTCTTTCTTTAGTTTTCTTACACAAACATACAGCAATATATCAACACTTGCACCAAGATACTGTCTTTCTAGTTTTCTTACACAAACATATAGCAATATATCAACATTTGCACCAAGATACTGCCTTTCTTTAGTTTTCTTACAAAAACATACAACAATATACCAACACTTGCACCAAGATACTGCCTTTCTTTAGTTTTCTTACAAAAACATACAACAATATACCAACACTTGCACCAAGATACTGTCTTTCTTAGTTCTCTTACACAAACATATAGCAATATATCAACATTTGCACCAAGATACTGCCTTTCTTTAGTTTTCTTACACAAACATACAACAATATATCAACATTTGCACCAAGATTGTTCAGACCCAATGCATAGATACTCTGAAAGAAACAAAATCAAAAGAACTTGACACATCAACTACACCACTAACACAAAAACAATGAAAAAATCTCAGCAAACTCATTCCATTGCATAACAACACGATACATGTAGAAGCCATAATACCCAGAAAACTCACTCTGCTCACAACACACACACACACACACACACACACACACACACACACACACACCAACCAAAAGTAGATCTTTTCAATATGTACCTCATCTGCAGAATCACTATGTAGGGTGGCCGAGCCCTGAGAAGGTTCAGGCGGCGCTGGTTTCTCTTGTGTTGGGCGACTCTTTCCCGTCTTCCTTGCCCCACCTCTTCCTCTCTTAGTGCCAACCATTATCGCCTCTTGCAGATGTGAAAAACTTTTCTGGTTCAATAGTGAGAGAAAAATGGGGAGTATAAGACTATGGAGGAGCTAGCTGTGTTAAATTATCTCTGTTTTCTGTGTGTTTTTTCTGAACAATACAATACAGCAGAGGAAAAGCGACAAAATTTTGAATATTGGTTACTTGATTTGCAATTAACTCTGTCCTTCCAACTTTCGACTGTGTTTGTACAGTCTCCTAAAACAGAAATTCAAATTGACCGTGCCATATATTTTTTGAGCTGTCAAATTGCATGTTAAATTAAATTATTATTATTATTTTATTTATTTTACTTAGGAATTTAATCAAATTTTAAATTTAGTAGTTAATTTATTGATCGTTTAATACATATATATACACACACTAGCGGTTTTACGGTTGGGCATGAATAATCGACTCAAATTTTAGTCGTAATCAAGTTAAACATTGCTTGAATTTAACCTTATAATTTCACATGTTCCGAAAAGTAGTAGGAATGAGATATAGAACTTGTACATAGGATACTTGCAGTGTCTGCTCAATATAAGTCTATAATCGAGATAAAATTTGGCGTCAATATTTAAAATGATCAGTTGGATTTTAATATATTTATTTAAATATCGTTGTTAATTTACATACAATTAGAAAAAAATAGAGAAAAAATGCAAAAAGATTATCTTGAATAAATTGTGCCTTGTAATTCTTGCACAATTCACTCTATATATAATTTCCGAATGTGTGGAGCTTAACTGGCCCTTAAATATCCTATTTGGCAAATTTTTAAGCTTTGTTGTTTTACTTGGTAAATTTTAATTTATTTACAATCCAAAAATAACTAAGCTTGAGATTAACCATAAATATACTAGATATTTTATGGTTTTAAAAGCACTAATTATGTTTTAATACCATTTCCTACTGTAGATGTGGTTTATAAGATATAACTTTTTTTTTCCAAATTTTTCGTTCTTCCTCATGTTTCTTTTAAAACTATAATATATTTAAAAGGTATTAACATTTTTATTTACTAAATATTTTCTTATATATAATATGAAAAGTTAATCATGTCTTGATGAACTTCAATTTGACATTTATATTATACATACAAAATAAATAAATAACTTAACTTTATAATTAAAATTAATTCAAAAAAATAAAGTTATTTAAACTAACTTAGCTACAAAGTAGTTATCACATATAAATAAAAAAAAAATTAATATTAGATGGTAATGCGTGTAAGTGATAGTATCATTTTAAATATAAATAACAATAATTTTTCAAAAAAAAAAAGTATTTAAAAAATAATACAAATTTTATTGTTATTATTATTTAATTTTAAAATAAATTTCTTAACAAGCACCAGTGTAGTCTGTCTGGCTTCCTGTTTCAAAACGAACAAACGAAAACAAAAATATTTATATATGCAATGGCAACCTTAGCCTACATTTTTATCCATGACTTACTCTTTGTTCTTTCCTCAAACTTTTCAGTAGCCATCGTTTAGGGACGATTTAAGTTGCAATTTGTTAAATTTGTAATCCCATACTAGATGTCGAGGCCAAGTAAAGAAATGTTCATTTTAAGTAATAAACATTCATTTTATCCTTAAAAAACCGTACAAATACTTGTCCGGTTGAGCTGCCTAACCGTTCGTACAACATTCGAGCAGCTCAATAGATCAATCCTTTTGTACTAAAATTAAGTATTAGCTTTGCCCGGTAAACGTGAGATTGTATCTTTATCTCCATCTCTTTAATTTGTTCATTCCATCTTTCTCTGAAATTGCTTTTGGTAATCGAAAGATTTCAAATTGAGAATCTTTTTACTCTAATCAACCAGCCAAATACGCGCATGATTCAAATCGATAAATTGATTAAAAGATTGATCCGAAGGCTCGTCTACAAGATATACAATTTGAGGTGTTCTTTTGGGCAATAACCTATAAACAAGCTATGGCTACTATAACCAGAACATGAGAACACTTAAATGTGGCCATCATTTACCAAGCTATGTGCATGAAATGATGAAAATGATGCCATGAAAATTATAAGTTTTTCTAATGTTGGCAAAAAAATAATATACCATAAATAACATTGACAAGTTTCATGAAAATCTTCATGGGATTGCAAAAAACAAGGCAAAAAGTAATATCAATAGCAACATAGATATATTTCAGAAATGCAAATGTTTTTACCAAGATAAAAGGTCGGGTCAAAATTTTTTTCACCCCATTATATATCTATTCTTTCTTTTTTACACCACCCCGTCAAATAACTTCTTTTACACCCCAGAATTCACGAAATGCTATGCG